GAACACTCACCAGGGTCTCCACCATGTTGGATTTGTTGTTACGCAATGTTTTCACAATGTGGAACACATCAATGATGTTTTGCTGCTGGATCATCTCACACACGCTGCAGATAGCACAGAAAGTTCCACTGCGGCCACCTCCATTTCTAAACACAGAGTAAAGAGGTGAGCCAGATGCCCGGGCGTCTGGGTACCCCCCAGGCACCTCCAAGATGCCTATGGAGTCAATGATAATACTTCCTAATTTTTTTTTATATTAAGCCAAAATATAGATAACATATTTATTTTAAACTTCTCTTTTTACATTTTCAGATGCTCCCAAGTTGGTCTCCTATGTCCCCTGACAGACTCTCCAGGTTAGAGGAAACATTGATCCTAAAGCCACATGAGCAGTAGCGGGAGGAGGTGCCCTGGAAAATGTAAGGTGAGACCATGGTGAAAGCCCTGACCTGAGCTGTGAATTATGGTCTGAGTACCATCTGTGCCATTCAGTTGCTGCTACCTTGGGTAGGTCACTTCTCCTGTCTGGGCCCCAAGTTCCACATTCACATAATGAAGATGTTAGACTAGATGACTTTTGAGAATTCGATTAGCTTGTTATTTTTCCTTGGTTCTATAAGGCACGTTACAGTCACCCATGGCACACTGGCCCAAACCCCCAGGGAAGGTAGATATTGTATGTTTGACATACCCCCAAAGTATATGTGGTGCCTGCATCCTTGCCCAAAGGGATGCTGTGGGTTCACCTACACATCCAATATAGAAAATGAACGGTCCCAGGTGATGCTCCTACTAGTTCTTTCCCTCCTCCACTAAGGATAGCAATGCCAGAGGTATCTCTGTTAGCCTAGGACCAGCCAGCCCAGGCATGGAGGGCTAGGGTAGCTTGAGGGACTGCATTCTGAAATAGCAGATTTCTACTTGTATACCATGGTTTAAACAAGACTCTTGTGATCTAGAGCATAGCGATAGGGGGTTCCTGATAGGGCCGTCCCTCTGTCACTCCTCTCTGCAGCACCATAAGTCACCTTCATGGAAATGCCCCTCAAACTCTTTACAGAAAGTTCCTTTAGGAATCTGCCTGATTCAGAACTGCTGGGGGAGACATGGATTTTAAAAAAGATACTCCTGCAAATAAATCAGGCTAAAAAACAAACACATGACAAACAGTAGGAAGCCTCCCTCCAGGAAGGAGCGTTCAGACTTAGCTGCAACAAGAACAGCAGAGTCCAAGATGAAGAGGTGAGTGGACACAGGCATCTCAGGGGCCAGCAGAGTGAGACCCAGAAGGGAGGAGTGTGGCTCTGTGCTGGTGGTGGAGGCACCTGAATGTGGGGGAGGGAGGTGGAGGAGCAGGGCTTAGGATAGAACCAGCTGTCAGTTTCTGGAATGTGGGCAGAGCCAGCTTAGCTTGGCTGATGTCACCCAACTATCTGACCTGGGACACCTCAAAGCATCTCTTTGGACTCTTGTCTAAGGCTTGAATCCTTTGGGAAAGGGAGGGGCTGCTATTAGTGGTGACCCTTAAACAACGTGTATGTTTAACCTCCTTTGAGCTCTTTGATCTTCCCAACATGTGCATGCACCACCTGTTTGAAAGAGGGGAACAATGAACTAGTTTTGAAAAGACTGAACTCAGTTCTGAGGTCAGTGGAATGCTATTAATGCCTCCACTGGCTCCAGAAATATTTATTCTGAAAAAGGTACAACCTTGGTTCAAACTTCCTCTAACACAACATTTTTAAAGAAGGAAGCCCTCTCAATTACCCCTCTCCAAATGGCTTTAAATTCTAAGAAGCAAAGTGAATTATTGTTATTAAATGCTGCATACATAGCTGTTATGGCTGCAAGTTTGTTGGGTCCAAGATCTTTGTATAATCCTTCCCTGTGGCCACTTTATACTTATATGGTAGACTTTGTGATGCTGTCTTGCTATTTTCTATTTTATTTTCTATTTTACAATATAAGTAATTAGTTGATAATATTTGTGTATTTGCTACCGTGACACTGTTGATCTCTATGATGGTACATCAATTGTGTTTATTTTGTAAATATTACATGTTAAAACTCTATAAGGTCTAAAGATTATCTAATTCAACATACCCATTGGAAAGACGAGGAAACTGAGGCTGACACAATGAAGTGATTTTCTTCATGTTGACAGCTTTCCAGTCACAGTCCTTTAACAGCCCTGACCTCCACTCTAGCATAATGACATCTGGGCCCATTTGGCTAGGGATCCCCATGCTTCGGTTACACTCATTTTAAGACAAGAGGTAAAGGCTCTGGGGTACCCCAGTTAATGGAGGTATAGCACAGTTGGCTTGGAGCACACTTGCCCCTGGGAAGTTCCCAGGTCCCTCCATATCAATCTACCAGCTCCTCAGAGCAGGCTTCCCCTCAGGCTCTCCATGTCTCTGTGTTCCTACTAAGCCCATAGTAAGAGATGCCCCAGGAAACTGACATGGTCCCCAAGACGTTTGGTTTATGCAGAGGCTGTGTGGGTTAGTGGGTGGCATATTTTCTTGGAGCCCAGTGGACTTGGATTCAAATCATACGCC